GAATGAGGGGGATTAGGGTAGGTTGTTAGGTTAATTAAGGAAGGGTGAATTCTGACCGTTGATCTCGAGTGATCAACGGTCCAGATTTAAGTGGGTAGGTGGGGAACGGGTTGGGTCGTGGGTTGGGTCTAAATCGGAACTGGGCTTGTTTAATTGGGCAGAATTGGGTCGATTAGGGGCTAAAATTGAAACAAAAATGGGGCTGTAATTGAAATGGAAATGGGGCTAAATGTTAAATAGCCAATTTCACCCTTTTATTTAGAAAAAAATAGTAAAAATGATTTTAAAAACTAATTAAAAATACAGAAATAAATAATAATGTATAAACATTAATATAAAAATACTGGACCCAATTTTATAATTATAAAATGCTATTAATGCTACAATAGGCTAAAATTGCAATTGCATGTAATTTAGCTTAGAAAATGCCAAATAAATTTGTAAAAAATAAACAAAAATCACCTTAAATATATTTTGATATATAAATGTGAGAATAAAATAGGTTATTCACCAATATTGATAGTTTTGGAAATAATTACTAATTTTGTATTGCTAAAATGGACAATAGATTAGTTTTAAAAATCTTAAAAAGTTTGGAAAACTATCAAAACACTTAGGTATGCTTTTGTATGCATATATATGCTATTTTGAAAGTATTTTGTATATAAAAATTATGTAGGAAAAAATTGGGTATCAACAATATCATCATGACTCTCGAAGTCATGTGCGGTAGCAATACCAAACCAAATACGACGAGTAGTGGGGTCCTGAGCTAAGCCTTGGATAAACCTTGCCAAAGGCAGGGCTAGTGACTGGAGTGAAGTCGTAACAAGGTAGCCGTACTGTAAGGTGCGGCTGGATCACCTCCTCTTCAGGGAGAGCTAATGCTTGTTGGGTATTTTGGTGGAGGTCTGAACCGACTGATGTTGAAGAATCAGCGGATGAGTTGTGGTTAGGGGTGAAATGCCACTCGAACCCAGAGCTAGATGGTTCTCCCCGAAATGCGTTGAGGCGCAGCAGTTGACTGGACATCTAGGGGTAAAACACTATTTCGGTGTGGACCGCAAGAGCGGTACCAAATCGAGGCAAACTCTGAATACTAGATATGACCTCAAAATAACAGGGGTCAAGGTCGGCGATTTTGGAATGTACTAGTTGTGTCCGGAACAGTGTTGATAAGGTATGTCAACTACAGATTGGTTGAAATTGAAACCATTTAGGTTGAAAGCACTATAAAGGTTCAAGTATACCGGTCTGCAAATATGTACGGAATAGAAAGATTCCAACCTGTTAGGATGCCTCAGCTGCATACATCACTGCACTTCCACTTGACACCTATCGTAATGATAAACGACTCGTCTCGCCGTGACCTTCTCTTGAATTCTCAAAAAAACTTCTCTCGCTCCATCCCTGCAGGGGCAGAGAACCCGTCGCTGTCTCGGCTGTGCTACCGGAGGCTCTGGGGAAGTCGGAATAGGAGAGCACTCATCTTGGGGTGGGCTTACTACTAAGATCTCAAATATCTGGAGTTTCTTTTTGTATATTATATGGATGATCCGATCCGCAAGGACCATGATTGGGAATTGTTTGATCGTCTTTCTCTGAGGAAGAGTCGAAATAGAATCAACTTGAATTCGGGACCGCTATTCAAAATCTTAGTGAAACACTGGATTTCTTATCTCATGTCTGCTTTTCGTGAAAAAATACCAATCGAAGTGGTTCCTTTGAGAAGGGTGCGATACCACCACCTATCAGGCCCGACGAGCGGTCCACGGAGCTGCATCCCTACTCACCTAGCCTATGCACATTGCTCTTTCTAGGAGGTTGGCCGCCTATCCTAGATCTTCCCTTTTCCAAGAAGATCCCGGGCTTCCCAGAGTTCATTCTCCGTGGAACTCCATTTAAATTATTCTGGTGGACTCTTTCCAATCTACTTCCTTTATGATTTCGTTCGAAATCATATAAAGACAATTCCTAGCTAGGCTAGTCACTGGCTAGAGGGCGACTGACCTACCGGATCGGAGGCAGCCGAGAATGTTATGTAAAAAGGACCAAGGAGGATCCTATCCTAAAGGAGACCGTCGTGTGAGCCTCCCACTGGGGGCCCGCTATGCCAAAAGCGAGAGAAACCACATCCCACTCTTTCCTTTTTTCGCCCCCATGTCGCCACACGGGGGAACATGGGGACGTAAAAAAGGGGGTCCTATCAACTTGTTCCGACCAAGGATAATAAGCTCATGAGCTTGGGGATGAATCGAGAGAAATTTGAATCAGAGCTCTGGATTTTTGTTCATCCTTTGCCGTAATAATATCTCGGGGTTTGCAGCGATAACTCGGTATATCTACCACTTGTGTCCACGTTCCCGAAGGCACCCCTCTCTTTCAAGAGGATTCGCGGCATGTCAAGCCCCGGTAAGGTTCTTCTCTTTGCATCGAACTAAACCACATGCTCCACCGCTGTGGTGGACAAACAAAACAAAAAAAGAGAGGAAATTTTATTAATTAAATAAAACTTCTTCAATCAACTTATCTTATACAAAATTTGATGATGAAATATGAAAACAATAAAAAATAAATAGAGTAATGTAATAGAGAGAGTAAGGTTCTACATTAGATTAGTATAGAAAGGATACGATATTCGAAACCGGAACTAGTCAGATGGAGTAGATAAGTTCCTTGTTAAATAAAATAAATGTTAATCTTAAATTAAATAAACAATATAGATGGCTTTGCTGACAGACAAATAAATACATTGGTACACAGAATACTAATGTATAGTACGATATGTAAAGCCAATAACAATAGTGATAAGACTATTGCAGATATGATAGTGGCAGGATTTACTGACCAGTTGAAAGGATGGTGGGATAATTATTTGACTGGGGAACAACATGCTAAGATTCTTCAGTCTGTCAAAATGGAAGGAGGACAAAATGTCCAAAGCAGTGTATTCATTAGTCATTAATCACTACTAAAAAATTTGGTTTTAGCGACAAATAAATTCTATAGCTAAACAGAAAAATTCGTCGCTAATCTCATTTAGCGACAGATTAGCGACAAATTATCAAGAAATTCTGCTAGCTACTGGCGATTTAGCGACAGATTAGCGACGACATTCGTAGCTAATTTTAGTTTGTTTTTTTGTAGATTATAGAATATTTTTGTGGTAGATGGTCTGATAATAGTGAAACCCTCATGACGATGCTCCAAAATATTAGATGTAAGATTCTGACATCTTTTAGATGGTATAAAGATGTATTTCTATCCAGAGCCATAGAATTACATGGGTGTAATAACACTCATTGGAAGTCTAAGTTTATTGATGGACTCCCCGCACTATTTGCTAAAAGGGTTAGAAAAGCCCTTAGAGGGGCATCAACGAGTATAAATTATGACAATTATACTCATGAGAAGTTAATCTGTGTTTGTACAGAGGTTTATCCTTATGCAATGAGATCAGTTGAATCAACAGATCAAAGGCATTGTCTTAATGAGAGACAACAATTAGGAGAATTTTGTGAGCAATTTGCTATAGATATTCCTAAGAAGCCCAAAGAGTCTCATAGACATAAAAAGAAGAGAGAATTCTCCGAGAAAAGAATAAAAAAAGAAAGAAAAGAAAGAATATTTATAGAGCCGGAAAATATTTTATTAGATCAACTAAGCCTAATGCATGCTATAAATGTGGCAGAATAGGTCATTATGCTAGAGATTGTAGAGTCAAGGATAAGATTAAGAGCCTTGACATTGATGATAAGATTAAGGATTCTTTATATAAGATTCTTTTAAATTCTTCTCCGGAAAATTCTAGTCTAGAGAATAGTGATAAAAATGATTCTTCAACTGATGAAGATCTAAGGGTTTTACAAGAGGAAAATTATATATCCTCAAATGAGGAATGTGAACTCTGTAAACAAACTCAGTGTTGTAATAACAACAACGATGATGAGTTTTATAACATTTACTCTCAATTTAAGGACCTAAATATAAATGTCCTGACTAATGATAGTTTAATAGAATTATTAAAAGTTATGAAGGATCCAGAGCTTAGATCTCAGATTATTGATAAAATGGACAAGTCATGTACAAGTCTTGTTATAGAAAACGAAGAAATTCCTTCTCAAAAAGGGTCACTATATAATGTTAGAAGTCAAAAGAATTCTGAAATGAAAAACCCAGACCATTGATAGGCCAACAACTATTCAAGACTTGGATGAAGAGATTCAAAAAAGAGATTGCTAAGCTCAAAGCTTCAGATGTAGCTTTGGACAAAAGGATCTCTAAATTAAAGGATCATCATAATATAGATCCAAATCAGAATTTTAGTGCTAGTATTATTGAAGCAAGTACTTCGCATACAAAATAAGGCTTTTCTTTTTAGAAATTTTACTTTCATAAGTTCTCTCTCTCTAGGAAAACACATCTCTTGTGCACAAGTTCTCTTTATATGGTTTTATATTGAATAATATCAGAAAAGGTCTACTATTGGCCATAACCTCGGCATATTCGTGTATTGCTAATTTTTGGTTAATTCCTCTTATAATAGGATTCATTTAGCCTAAATGATAGACTAAATACTATTGTGTTGAACTTAGGCATACTAGGCTACTGCTGACATGTTTTGTTATCATTGAGTACTATATCACCCGACGGTTCTAAGGTTGAGACTATAGAGTCCAGGCAGTACAGTAGTCCAGGCAATAAGAGCAGGTTATGGTGACATTACCGGAGGTCCCTTGAAAGACCCACTATAGCCGAAGAGGGCATTAAGGGTCGTGTGGGATTCGGGGTTTGGACTTGCTTGACAGGACTAGTGTCTCGGTAAAAGCTTCCGTGTAGCTCCGTCGAAGCAACTAGCTATCAATAAAAACAAAATATGCATACAATGCTAACCTACTACAACTATGTAGTAGGTTAGCAAAATCCATATATATATATATGTACACACACATATATACATATAGGTTAGCATTGTATGCATATTTGATTACGCAAAAATGCCCTCATTATTTGAGGGCCACCACATTAAGGTGAAGGTTTTTTTTTTCTTTCCCCAAATCTCACAATTTCCTTAAAACTAAACCCATCAGATTAGATCTCTCTCCCGTCAGTAACCCCTTACTTATTTCCTCTTCTCATTCGATTCCTAATCAGCTCGCAGAGATAAATTCCTAAAAATCTAAGCTTCATCTTCAACTTTCAATATAAGTTATGTAAGCCTAATCTAAATCGTCAAGGAATTCCTACATTCTCCCAATTTTTCCTGTTCTTTTCAATTTAATATCAATTTTTTTTAGATTTCCCTGCAAGTTCATCCATGTTTCCGGATTTTAGATATTATATAAGTAAATTTGATGGGAAACGAAGATAGTGGCATCGACCCTGGTGGTGGTACCATAACGTTCTGGTGTTGAGTCGTCGCAAACACCGCTTAAAATTTGCACTTGTCTCACAAAGTTCTGGTGTTAAAAATAAGTTCATAGTGAATTTTTTAATCGTAGTAAAGTTTTAATCTTGGGTCAAAAATAGATCTTTTTAATTATAGTTTCTTCTTGCCTCTGTTTCCTTAATTGGTTGTGGAATCCCATATAAAAAGTTGTTGTTTCTTCATCTGTTGAGAAGCATTGTATTGTATTTTGTTGGTCCACCAAGTGTTCCCTTGGTGGTGTCAAGGATGAGACTGATATTAGATGTCATCCGAGAACTTACATTGGAAGCATGCTCGGACGATGCCTTATTGATGGGTTAAAGGTACAGAGTGAACGCTCTGCCTGGCCTGATGTGCAGCAAATGAGAGGAAAATCCTCAAAGTTGATCATGTTGAATTGGAAAGAAAAGAGAGAAATCTTCGGATTCTGCAAAATTTTGGTAAGGCTTTGTTGAAAGTCATGAAAGAATACAAGACAAAATTTTGATATATAGCATACTGACAAGATACTCTTTGCATAACATTGCTACTGTTGGATGTTAATATACTTGAGCATCCATTATTAAGCTATACCATTTAGGAACTACATTTAATTATACTGAGTAGTTGTGTTCATTGTGATTTTTATGTGCTGGTTGTCTAATCATTGGACTTAGATTCACATATGTATACATTATTCTTCGTTGTCAAATAATTACCTCTGCCATCTTCATGTTCGTTTCAGTGGTAATGGGTGGTTACAGTGACTCATAAAATTACCCTTCCTGATTAATTCACTCATAAAATATATAGTTGCTGCTTGATTGCTTCCTCGAGCTAAAGTTTTTGCTAGCTTTAGTTATGTCTTCTAGAACCAATTTAAACTCGGGATTTCATTTGTAAATTTCTGGTGCACTATATAAATGGGATATAGCAGTTCAAAAATGTGAATTCTCCGTTGACCATTAGTTGTTCGCCTAATCAAGTAAATATTATTTAAGATTTGCAGTGTTAATTATGGTTTGCAATGTAGGAATATTATTTTATGTTGTGATTGTCTGTTACAAAGACATTAAGTTCTGTTATGTGCTCTCATGAATTATGGTTGAGAAACTAAAATTTTTCTTTTCAACCTTTGCAGAGATTGTCATGTTGCAACTGATATTTACCCATGGACTGATTGTATCAAGTTTTACAAGCTTATGATTGTACAAAGCATGAAACTAAGAAGTTGGAGGGCGCGACTGCTGAAACGTTTGATACTGCGAAAGCTCTACAAGTGTTTATATTTATAGAACTTGTAGTTCTTGAAATAGGGATGAGAGTCTCCTCTATGATTATGTGTTTACCTCGAAAAATGCGAGTAAAAATTAATTTTGATTTGTGGTTTTAATGATATGTGATTTAGTTCAATAGCAATTAAGAATCAAGAAATATGGAGTAGAAATGAAAGATAGAAATGAATTAAACCAATATTACTTAGCAGCAGTGACCTCGAGTTGGTGACCTCGAGGTGGCTTAGGGCAGTAAGAACAATTAAGTAGAAAAATCAAAGTAAGAACAAGTAAGCTAAGGGACAATTCTGATGAACAACAGGCAAAAAGTAGAGAGTATATTCTTTGCTCAGTAAAAGATGGTCTTACAAATGATTGGGGTTCCCTTTTGATAATAGAGGAACCCTAAATAAGGAATATTTCTATTTACAGTAGGGAGTATTCTTGTTACAGCTGTCTTAACCGCCTAGTACGGAACTGTACGATCCTATTCTGGAATTCACGCCATGATCTCAGAGACGTGGCAGGAATTTAGCTCGCTTTGGTACAAATCTATAACGGTACTATTTCGGGGTAGAACACACCCGACCTCGATATGCATCGTGCTTTGCCTTCGAACTCGGGTCTGGTCCCTCGAGCTCGAACCTGGCCTTACCCAGACTCGAACTTCTAATGACCTCTCAAATATATATAGATCGAAGGTATTTGATCTTGACCGGAAATAGATAGTCCCTGCGTTTCTTAGAGTAAGATGATAAGAAATGCTTTTGATCTCGTTTCCTGAAGTCTTTAGTGATGATGTCATTTCTGTGATGCGGGCATTCGAAGTGACCGAAACGTCCCATCGGTCCACTTCCCCAAAACATTGAATGCACGCCAGTATTGGTCGACCACTAGCATCGCCGAACCATCGTCGCCCTTCAATAAATATGAGGCGATTCCTCTGACTAAAGAACTTTACTCTTTCTTTATACCTTCCCTATCTTCATCTCTTTCTCTAGTCACCCGTTTCCATCGCCTCTTTAAGTGCCGGAAAACGCCAAGCTCTTGGGGAAAACACTACATCCCTGTGCAACCCGTATTCTTTAGCTTACAGTCATGGCTAAAACTTCCAAAACGGTCCCCAAAAAGAATAAAGCGTCATCTTCTTCTACTTCCCGGGCGGCCAAACTGGTGGTGCCACCAACCCTTGAGGAAACCACCCCCGGCCCTTGTGTAATCAAGAAGGACTTTAGTATTGAAAATCCCCCGACGTCCCAGGCCGATGTGAGCACGCATCTCGATATATTAGCTTGATATCGAAGAAGTTCATCAAGGATATGAGGAAGGATTATGGCTGGGGAGATGAGGTCGTGATTCAGATCCCGAGCCCCGAGGAAAGCATTACTACCCACGTGGAGGGATTTTTAAGTGTCTTCACTTATCCCTTCACACTGGGTCCCCTCGATCCGGTGGTGATCGACTTTTGCAAAACATACGAAGTCACCCTCGGTCAGATTCACCCTTCTTTTTGGCGTATTGTGATCATGCTGCGCTTCTTTTCCGAAAAGGCTGAGGGGTTAGAATTCACCCTCAGCCACCTGATCAAATTATATCGGCCCCATCTATTTCGAGGGCTCATCAAGTTGCAACGTGGAACTACGAAAGCCATCTTTGCCAGTACTGACGAGACCAAAGATCGAGGTTGGATGAGCCGTTTCGTCAGAGTAAGGACTTCAGATATTATCCCCGGGGACAAAATGCCATTCCCAGAGAGGTGGAACTTTAATGTAAGTGGAGTTCCTTTCCCCAGTATCTATTCATGTTTTGTTTCTTCATCTCATAATACCTTTACCCTTCTTTTGGAAGCCACTGTCTGGGTGCCCCTCGCAGTGCCAGACCTCGAGGATTGGGTACAAAAAAGTTAGCTGCCACCTCTTCCTACGATGAGCGCAAGTGGCATGAATTAGCGAAGGGCCAGTGGGAGGCCAAGAACCATGGTAAGTGCTTTCCCGAGTTTCAAATACTTTTCATATACTGGTGGTGTCAATTTACTCAAGTTTACTTGTGCAGGCCTTAGGGATGCATCTGAGATGAGGCCGGCTCCGCCCGGGGAGAAGACCAAGCCTTCGATTCCAAAATTGGAGAAGGACAATAAAAGGAAGAGGGTTTCGAAGCCCGAAGACCCTCAGGAGAAGAAAACCCCTACTCGGAGGCTGCAGAAGAGGTTTGCTCAGGCGGGCGCGGATTCGGCCCCTTGTTCCCCAGGTGACGAAGAAAATGATGATGAAGAGTCGGCGCTGGTGCCTTGAGCCAGGAAACCCATCGAGGCTGCCAAGCTCTCCTTCCTAGAGACCTCATCTTTTGGTGAGGGAACTCCAAAAAAAGATGCGGGCAAGGCCCCCGTATCCCCGGAGGTTGAGATCGTCCCTCTATCTTCAACAACTATTCCGGAGGGGGCAAATGCTGAGACCCCTGAAGCTAATGAGAACGCCCCGAGTGAAGAGCTTGGGGCCGCGAAAACAGGTCACTCCCTTTCTTTTCCAACTTATTCCGAGGGGGCAATCGAGGAAGCCAACGCTCTACGTATGCCCGATCCGAGCGAGGTCCTCGAGGAAGATCCCTTTCAGGGTTGCTACGCTGGGATTGAGGATGCCAATGACCTTAACGATGCATCTACCATCTTCGAAGAGGCTCAACATCTCCTCTCCCGGGTAAGTACTTCCTTTCACTATTGTAATTTTCTCTTTTCTTTCTTTTCTTTAGACTGATATTTCTCCATTCCACGTATAGGCTATCGTAAAGTTTAGAGCTGAGGTGAGCCAATGTGAGGCCGAGCTCAAGAAAGTTTCGGGTGAAGAGAAGGCCCTAAGGCTCCTCTGTAGCCAAAAGGAAGAGGAGCTTAAGGATCTCCGGACCGCATTGACCAAAGCTCAAAAAAGCAAGTCCGGGCTAGATGAGCAGGTAACTATGATTTTAACAGAGTACGGCCTTTTCGGCCTTACTTCGGAGGCTAACACTTCGATATCCCAGTTGTAGCAAAATCTAGAGATGATTGGGAAGCTCCGGAGTGAGGTTGATCAAGTTAAAGCTGGTTGTCATCAATGGAAGAAGAGCATGGATCAACTTGATGTCGATAAAGAAGCCGTTACGGCCCAACTGGCCTCAGCTGAAACCCAGCTCCGAAGCATTAAAGCGAAGGGTCTGTCTCAGGCCAAGAAGATCGAGGAGTTGGAGGCTGAGCTCGCTAGACCCCAGGTCGAAACTGTACAGGCCAAGGCTGAAGTTGTACAGGTTAAGGCTGAAGCTGAGAAGACGAAGGCTGCGGCTGATAAATCCATTGCCATGTACTTAAGGGATGTTATGGCCGTTCAAGCTGAATTGAGGGAGGCCTCCGACTGGGGAAAGCGAAGCAATGATTTGGCTAAGTGCCAAGCCCGGAGGGAGACTCTCAAAGAAATCCATGCCCAGGGGTTCAATCTTGCCGAGGAGATAGCCGAGGCAAAGGCGCGGGAAACTGATGCCAGGTTTCTTGTCTCCTCCGATGATGAGGACGTAGCGAGTGGCTCCGGGGACGGGGAAAGTGAAGAAGATGTTCCCGAGGGAGAGGAGGCTCCCGAAGATAGAGCTACTGAAGGTGCAGTTTCTGAAGATGACGCTTCCAGGGGTGTGACCCCGAAAATAGATTAGGTTTTCATTTTATTTTCTGTGCAAGGGCCCTTCGCGGTCATTGTGAATATGTTTTGTAAAACACCCCCCATGAATATAAAGTATATTTTCACTCTATCCTTAACTTGTGTTGAATTTTATTTTGTTCTCATTTGGGGAAGACTTCGATAATTCAAAAAATCAGTCCAAGCATTGATTCGGACTCAGAACATTATAAACCCTTAGGTTTTTATTGATCAATATAATACCCCTTAGGGTTTTTTTCATCCTCGGGTCAAGCTTAAATCATTTCTATATAAGCTCGGAATAATGGGACTCTTGAGTCCGAGTTGAGTGAGAGCGAGGTCTTGAACTCTATATGGTTTGGCCCTTAAGCTCTTTTAAGGTGGCCCTTAGGCTCTTTAAGTCGGCCCTTAGGCTCTTTAGGTTGGCCCTTAGGCTCTTAATGTTGGGCCGATTCGTCCTTTAAAGTTGATATACTTTTTCACTCTTTTCGGCTAAAAGACTTAGTAAAATTTTTGTATGCCTTAGCATGTGTTTTTTGTACCCGTTTTGGTTTTTCGGGGGTTCGACGTATCGAAATCTTATTAGTAAATTGTTTGTGCAAACATAATTGAATACCTCTTGAGGAAATTTTGAAGGCCGACGTTATCGAAGCCCTTTGATTATTCGAGGGCTGAATTTATCGAGGCCCTCAGATTTTTCGGGGGCTGAATTTATCGAAGCCCTTTATATTTTGCTTTTACCGAGGGTAGCCTGATTTAACCGGTTTTTACAAAGTGTTTGAAGGCCTTTAATTTATAGCGGAAGTCGGACGTCTCCGAGCCACATTATTTTGGCCGTAGTCTTTAGTACGGTCGTAGCCTTCGGGTATGTCACTTAGACATGTTTCCCGATAACTTTTCGAACTTGTTAAAAAATTTAGTCCCCGAGTATATTGGCCTTGGCCTTTATTTCGAGGGGGGTGCCCTTTTGAGGTCTTATAAGTCCGAGTTTCGATGACTCGGATGTACCGACTATTGATGACAGTCCCCGAGTATTCGGGGGTGCTTTTATGCTTTGGCTCTTGAGCCGTTTACCATAGGATTATAAGTGTAGAGTTCGTGTAATAGTATACTTCTTTGAGACACAAAGTGTTTATGATATTAGAAAAATGCTTCTTCAAATAATTGATACATACGTACATGCTTTGCCATCGGGGCTTGACTATTCTATATGGACACGGTTCATCTGACCGTTTGGCCCATTACAAAGTTTTCCTATCGAGGCCCTCTTAGGCGTGAAGTATTTTCCTTGAAAATATAATCTCTAAGGGTGATTACCCCCAGTATTCGAGGTTGATTGAAAAGAAATCTTGGATATTGTTGAGTTCTCCTTAGGTAGCATATAATTGTTGCCTCGTTAAAAACCTTGCCGGTAAAACCCATTTGGGACAAAATCCAAGCTAAGGAAAAAAGAGTGCAACGTATGCTTTAAAACCTAAGATCTTCGTGTAAAAAAGGGTATCTTCGAGATCGCGTATCTTCGATGGCTTCGATCGAAAATCTGCAACAAGTTAGTTTTAAACTCAAATGAACAAAGGATAAAGCCGTACCTTAACAGTAATACCGTTTGAGTAACGATACGTTCCAGTTGTTTGGCAGTTGTTCACCTTCCATTGTGCTAAGTTTGTAAGACCCTTTACCGACAACTCTGAGGACTCGAATAGATATCTGAGCGGGGACTTTTGTTTCAGATGGTCAACCGACAGAGTACTCCTTTGCTTGTACTTCCTCCACAGGTCATCTGGCCCGGCCTCGATGATAGGTTCGCTACGTAGTGGTCTC